TTGGATATTTAAGATTGTTTTCATTTTAATGAGGATAACGTTTTTTACCAGCCTGAACTTGGCCCCGAGTTTCTCAATCATGTATAAGTAGACTCAGTTTTCTGGGAGAAAGGTAGAGATAGGACATCTACAGCTTTAAAAAGCATTGCTAAAGCAACTGTATTCCAAATTATCCTGAATTGGAGAGACTAGAAAAGAACATAAAAATATACTAGTGACACCTCTTACTATATTTTAAAAATTGTAAAGTAATAAAGCACCAAAGATATCAAAATACCTTTATTTCATATATAAGTGGGATGTGTACAGATTTTTTATTAAGTTGCTAATAAATTGAATGAAAATCCATCTAATAGGGTTTAAAAATTTAAAAATAAAATTTAAAAATATAATTTGAAGAAGATGAGTGTAGAATCTCCTGTTAGGATACTTCCTTCTGTAGTAATAGAGAAGGATAAAGTTAAGGACGCAACTCAATATAGAAGTTATATATTTTGACATAACTTGTCTGCCCTTTTGGCATTCAGAAACAGACAATTGCTCTAACAGAGTTTCTCTAAGGCAGAGTATCGATTACGATAGTGCTATTAATCGTATAATAATAATTCAGCTCCCTACTAATTCTTTAGTTTAACTTTGTACATAATGCCTACCAACACCCCGTGAGAATTTCTAGTTTTTGTTATATATCTAACAATGAGGATATTTAGTATACTCTCTTCAAAATTTTAAGTCTAGAGATGTGGATTTTAGTCTTGGCTCTATTGTTATGAATCATGTCATGAGTGATAACAGAGAAGAAGGTCCCCCACCAGATTAACAGGGAGAACAAAGGCCAGAGTCATTCCAAGTGTGGGAGGGTGTTAAGGAGGAAACAGCACATACACCAGTAAGTAAAGAAACCTACTGCAAATAGATCAAGAGTACTAGAAAATGCTTAGCATTTAATTTATGAATCCTTATAAATTTACACTAAACGATGAACTCGGAACTGACTTTTATATCACAGTTACCCACATGAAAAAGGGCTTTATTCCAGAGAGTTTTAGCATGATAGACATCTCAATCCCTAGCACGCAGGAACTTGGTAATGGCAACACCTCTTGGTAGGAACTGCTAAAGGAATGTATAACATTCCATGTTCAAAATCATTCCCCACGAAATGTTCAAATCACTGCTACATTGTCTTCTAAATCCCATCTTGCTGTTGAGAAGTCTGGTATCATTTTGATTTCTTTTGCTTGTCATTTTTTTTTCCCTTTTGAAACCTTTTAAGATTACTTTATATCTGGTAGAAACATCTCATGAAGGCTGAGGAAAGGGAAGGTAACAAACTTTTTTCATTACAAGTCTGATTGCACTATTTGGCCTTTTGAACTTTTTATTAAATGTTGTAAAGTAGCTAGATTACGCAAGAGCTGGAAATTGTATTGAGGCTCACCTACTCTCCCCCCCAGAGGTAGCCTTCTCCTTAGCACATTTGTTATGCCTCTGGTATGGCCTCTCCTATTGTGTTTTAAAAATTTAATTTATAAATGTTTAAAATTTTAAAAATTAATTGAAAATTTTTAGAATACCCAAGAAAGGATCTGAAACAAATTTGGAAAACATGGATATTATCGTCTGGGTACGTAAATCTTGGTGGTAAGTAGGCATCTCGGTCATTTTCTGTATGTTTGAAATATTAACACTTTGTAAAATAAACACAAATGCCAAGAAAAGAGAGAAGAGCAAAGGGTATGAGAATCGGGAGCTCTGGGCAGCCTGAGTAACCCCTGGTGCTGTCATATACAGATCCCACATTCTCACTTGAGGTCTGCTGAGATTCAGTAAGGCCTGAAACTCTTAGTCACCAGTTCAGTTCCTCCAGTCGGTCCAGAATTATTTATACACCACCACCGTGTACCAGGCACTTTTATGGGCCTTAAGGATACGAGGTGAACCAGCACCATCATATTATTGTGAGTTGTCGTGTTTCCCCTTTTCTGTTGTAATCGTTACATGATTGTCACTTACTCGTCTTTTACATCCTTCACCTGACCTACTGTAAACCTCGCGTCGCTGTAAAAGGATGACTAGCAAGCTTTTGCCAAACAGACCTCTGTTTAATGTCTCCTAAATTCAGGAAAGCAAGAAGTTTCTCACGGCAGACCCCCGCGTGGGGGTAGAAAAGCATTTAGTGCAGCTTCCTGTAGGTCTCAGGGCTTCCTCTCAGCCCTGGGGAGCCGGACGGCCATCCCCCAGTTGAGGGGTGGCGGGCTCTGTAACAGTCGTGGTTGACGTGGGCTGCCAGGGCTGCGCTCCCTCCGCGGGACCCTTGCCCTGCACCTCCTCTCACCCAAGGCCTGCCTGCTCCTCTGCATTTCCATTTGCCACCTGTCTTAACGTCGAAATTAAATACCACCCCTGGAAGCCTACTTTAATCTGCCCCGCCCCATTAATTGCTTCTTCTTTTAAATTTATGATGGCATTTTACACTTTTTTTTTCTGGCATTGAGGTTATTTTTGTGAATGATTTTTCTTCTTTAGTAGCCTGTGATTTTCTTGAGAGCCAAATCTTACTCTTTTTCCTTTGTTTCCACTGTCTAGAACAGTGTTTTTGGTATAGTGGGTGTTCAGGTCTTTTTTAAAGTACATTCAGAACACACAGATACCTTTCCTTGTTGGGTTCACAGGGTGGAGCAGAACTGCACATTTTAGCTCAGATTCGTCCTGGAGACGCCTCTGGATGGGCTCCCTGAAGGCCCCGGGGAGAGCCGGCTCCCTTGGGTGGATGTCGTCCTTACTGACTTGTTCATGAAGGCAAATATTTTATAATATTTGAGACTTGGAGTTTGTGTAGTTCCAGGAAATGCCCCATTGATGAGTAGGTCTTAATCTTTCTAAGGACACTTTTCATTGGTAATGTTTCAGGTTGTTTTCCAAGTACCAGTACATAAACTTATTTTCATAAAGCCAATTGTAAAACACGTGAGGTTTTCTGAAAGTCAAGTGGCGGCCTTAGTTCTTTGTTATCTGGCTTTTGTCATTTCATGACAGGCACTAAGCTCTAGTTTAACATTTTTATTACATGTGAATAATAGAGTACATATATTGAGGTTTCATAGATGTAATTTTGTTAAATGTACATCATGGTAGATTTTAAAATGAGGGATTTATTTTGTCATTCATAAAGTTGTAATACAGTCTGGAGAAACTATTTGTTAAAAGATAGCGTCTACTTAACCTTCTTATTTATTTCTTGTAGGAGAAGGTTAGATCCACAATAAATACATGAAGAAATAAGTAGATAGGGGAATTTATCTTGGAAATAAGATCCCTGTCATGGTTTTGAAATGTTAAATGCATGAAGACCTGTCAAAGAGATATACGGACATGATATTTTTTTTACAGTGCATTTCGAAGTATTTAGTTATATTTGTCATTCTCTAGTGCCAGTAAGCAATGATCAAATGATATACTAATTTCAGAGTCAGTCTGTGTTAATGGGTATAAATATAGTGTCTCTACACATACATTATATAGATATATTAATTGGCAGTTTTAATATTAATGAAGCGCTTAAGATATTTTATGACATTTCTTAAATATTTAGCAACTTTTACTTCTGTTGCTTTTAAGATCTGATTTTATAAAAATAGAACTATATATAACAAATGAAGAGGGATTCTTTTAAAGGGTAATTTAATAATTTGATTCTTAAGAATTTGTGAAAGTCTGATGATTAGTTAAAGTAATTCACATTTGCCTCAAAATGAGAAAGTTAATTATTTGGATTTTGGGATTTCTTTTCCACCTTTATGGGGCTAAGGAAATTTGTAAAATCATAGTTAAAGCCTTTATGGAAAGAATACATTCTTTTTATATCATCTTATTTGTATCATAATTTAAAACACACATATTATAATCCCTATTTTTTTTTTTAAATTGCATTAACTTCCTAAAAGTGAGGCCAATTTATGATAGTCAAATCGAGCTGCTATAGTTTCTCTCTTTTGTGGCATAGTACTTATCAACTTATGAAAATATTTTAATTTTGAATATTGGGTTTTAATTTGCTTTTATTTGACTGTTCATTATCCTGAATTAATTAGCTGGACACTACTTTATTAGTCACAAGGATTGCTTTAAAGTAAATTGTCCTAGACATAAAAAGTAAATTTCATTGATGATTTCATGAATGCAAGTGCTTTGAAAGAGACAAAAGATCAACCAGAGGAAGTATTAAAGTTTTTTGTTTATGGTTCATATTGCCTTGATTATTAAAGATATTAAAAGATCTTTGTGAAGTGTGGGGCTGAAATATTTTCTAGTGTGAATACTTACTGATTTGTTATTTTCAGAGTTTTTTTTCATACAGGAAATAATTGAGGTTTATTTTTCTCGAAAACGTGTTTTATTAAAAGTTATAGTTATACTCTTTTTATTCTTATCAACAGACACTTCTTAGGTACCGTATGGTAACACAGAAGGACATCTTGTTCAGGAAATGGCTCTGGTGTTTTCCTTTTCCCCTGGGAGCACTGTGGTGGGGCATTTGGGTGCATTGCAGGAGCAGTGCTGTTCTGGGTGGGGCTGGGCTCTGAAGGCAGCCAGCAGCACCCGCCACCTCCGCCTGGCAGAGAGCAGGGGTTGTCTGAGTAGTTTAGTATGGATAGCTTTTCATTTAGCCTTTGCTCTGACAGCCCATGCCCTGGATAAGTGGTGTAGGCCTGTACAGGTGAAATCTATTCTCACATTTGCCTCAGGGGTGACTGGACTGTAACAGAATTTTTCAAACCCGTTGGGCCCAACCGCAAAGCAGAGAATAAATGGCTGAAGTGCCAGCCCTCGACAGAAAAATCAATGCCTGGTTATACAGACATGACAGACCAGGCCTGCAGTTCTCCTCACGAAGTCTGTGTACTCGCCACACTCCAGGGTTCAAACACGCTTGTGTCTGGGGCCTTGGGTGGACTGTGGGGGTGGTATTTACATCGTTTTCTCTCTCCTTCATGCAGGAAATTTACGTGCCACTTATGTGACAGAAGTTTCACAGAGAAGTGGGCCCTGAACAACCACATGAAACTCCACACGGGAGAAAAGCCATTTAAGTGTACCTGGCCCACGTGCCATTACTCATTCCTCACGGCCTCCGCCATGAAAGACCACTACAGGACGCACACAGGTGTGCAATGTTATGTCTGTGTCCTGGGAGGCTGGGGGGCTATGTGAACATGTGCATTAGTTATCCCAGCAGTAGTCGATAGAAATGATTTCCTGTTCGAAGAGTTTGTTTTTAGATTGTGGTAATTAAATATTAAAAGGTACAGTATCATTTCATTGTTTATCGATGATGCTTAGGGACATTTTAGTGTATGTGTGTACACGCGCGTGTGCGTATGCATGTGTTTCACCCAAATTAAGTTTCATATTTAGAAGCTTATTTATGTTGTGTGTATGTACGTATATGCATAAGTGTTTAAACGTATCCTCTTAGATGTAATCTTGATAGAAGATCATTTGGGGACAGTAAGTTTTCATAGAGAACTAATCTTGTATTTTGTTACTGATCTAAACTCCCAGTGCCGTAATATTTTTGACCATTATTGAATTTTGGTTTTATGTGCCATTAAAAATTTTTTTTAATCAAATTAATGTTTTTCTCAAAGGAGAATACTGTCACATCCAAGAGTTTTTGATAATTAATACAGAGACCAATCTAGATTTAGCTACTGTAAATTTTTTAGATAATTATATATATTTAAGAAGTAAAAATTCACATACATTTTACTTCAAAACATTTAAAGGACTGTATGGAATTTAAACCAATTGATAGTAAAAGCAGCATTTAGAGTACATCTGTGCTAGGCATTGTACTGAGAACTCTCAGTTTGGACCTTCATAAATATATATCCGCTTAATACCCTGTTGTTATATTCGCTGTTTATGATATGTTTTTCATTATCTAAGGACAGTGGCCCCCTAAACTCCCTACAAGTGTGTCGTTGAGTACTCTCCTCGTCTCTTGATAGCTGTGTTACCTTGAGCTAGTTGGTATTTTTGTGGTCTTCTTTCTCTCTACACCTCTCAGAAAATATTTTGTTTCAAGGAAAAAAATAAATTTTCATCAGCATTCTCAAATGTTCTTCTGATTGCCAAGGATCCTATATTATTGTTAGAAATTATAGGTTAAAAGTTCTTCTGAAGCAGTTTGTGGGAAGCCTAGGCCTCCTTAGCTTCCCTGACAAGGGCGTTGACGATTTAAGGTCTCCAGCCTGCCCTGAGAGATCACTTATATCGAACAGCAGATGAAAAGCCAGTGCAGATGTAATTTATCGTTGGCGTTTCCTTCTAAAGAATAATTGTGGAGACTTGGGTGGATCAATAATATGGATTTTTGTTGTTAGGTCTTGTAGTCTGCACCATAATGAGAGATAGGGGACAGTGGCTGTTTTCTAATAGAAAATAAAGGATTGGTTTCCGTGTCTTTCTATATTTGAATGCAAAATGGCACACTTGAAACTAATTCAAGTTGTTAAGAAAAGTCTCCTATTATATTTCTACTATCATATAAATATGGCATGTTAAATGAACTCCCTTATATTGAGTGAAATATTACATTTAGTTTTTTCTTCAAAAATTTTTTTCTTGAAAAATACTCTGGTGCCCACTATTCAACCCTAACCCCCCACCCCCTCAAAAAAAAAAAAAAAGCAAGAGAAAATTGAATTTAGAATGAAAAACAAATCAAGCCACCAAGGTAAATATGACGTACAGTGCATTGCAGACTAGCATCCTAAGTAAAATCCTACACATCAAAAAATCAAGGTCACTAATGTATCTAGAACCAAATCACATGGAAAATTAATAATTTTGTCTTTGTAGCTATACATATCTTAAAGTAGGAAAGGAAAGAACACTTAATTTATACGTGAAGCTTATATACCTGTAAAGAGTATAAATCTCATGAGGATTTTCTCTTTGTTAGTGTTTTTATCTTACAACAAAGATGTAGGTTGCAAAAGAAGTTGGTAAATGAGAGAAAGGGATCATACTTCTCTTGAATCCAAAGTAATAATAATACTCTTTCCTGATGAGAGATTTTTAGTTGAATGGCCCAGCACCACCTTCCCACTGCCACACCACCAAATGCGTGTGCGTGTGTGCTTGTGGTGTGCATGTGTGTGAGCTGGCACACACACGCATTCCCATGCATGCACAAGGGTTTAATGTCCACAAGACTGTGGTGGTGAATAAATCGTAGAAAACAATTTTGCCTCAACATAGAATAGTATGTTAATATTAATGAGCAAATTATCTTTTGGGATTTAAAAAAAGTCTATTTTCAGTGTTATTTAATTGATAATATAGCTAGTTAGACAGATTTATATTTCAAATTGATTAAATAATTAAATGAGTGATTATAATTAAACTTTATTCTTCACAGCCCATCTACTCTATTCTTTTTTCTATACTGGAGTAATGATGCCAAGGAATAAACTTAACCGCAAAATAGGAAAGTAAAGATAGGAAAAATACTTAAATTCAACTTTATTTACAGATGATAATAATGAACATTTTAGCATACCATTGGGAAATACGATTAAATATAATTTGGTTAAAACTCTCTTAATTAGTACACGTTCATTTAAATTAGAAAAGCTAGTAGTGCTTTTAAGTAACGGAAGACACTTTTTGATTACTGAAGTTGTTCTGCCTTCCTATATTTACTATTTTTTCTAACCTTAAAAAGGCAATTACTGTTTCAAAAATACCTCAAGCTAAATTTCTATTATAATATACCAAAAAGTTTTAGAACAAAGCTGGCTGACTCGGGCAAAACCCTTGAAAGACTTGTTGTTGCATTAAACATCTAAATGAATAAAGTAGATAAAGATAGATACAAATGATTTATTTTATTTCTGGAAAAGTATTTTATAATTTCTCTGTGTCTTTCCGAGGTTAGCATTTTTGGGTTTTTTTTTTTGCCCTTCTTCATGAGCCTTATGGCATAAACTGCCTCGCTTGCCAGCATTTATTGCCTAAATATGCTACAGTAGAAAGATAGATTGCATTTATAAACTGTTGGGCAAACTGTTAGCTTGTGTGAAAATGCTGAAAAAGTAAGCATTTACACACTTTTAACAAATACGAAGTCTGCCAAACCTGTCTCTAATTGTTGCAGAGGTTTCCAGTCCAGAGTTATCATTAAAGATGAATAACAGGAGTTATTGTACAATTTATTTAGCAATCCCTAGACTTCATTTTTTATGCCACAAAAGTTTGAGAAACATAAACAGTATTGAATTGCTATTGGTACTGAGTAAAGTAGATTTTATTGTTACTTGGGATTTTCAGTATGTTCAAGGAAACAATTTAATTCATATTATTAAGTAAGAAGTTATTAAAGAAGACCCTGATAGAATCATGTAAAACCAATTCAATATGCTTCAGTTGTTAGAAAATTCAATATGTTTTATTTAAGCAGAATCATATATATACTGTATATTAACTATTCCAAGCAATCTTTACTCAGCTCAGAAAGGCCAGATGTATGGGAATTGTAAAAAATCAGGATATGCATAAAAACTGTTCAAGTGCATAAAGCAGCCCCATCTGGAAGACATCTACCAGAAATGAAGTTGTACAAAACCATTCCATTGATAATAAAGCTAATTTTTATGGGTCTGACAAGTATGTAATTATGTTCAGTGGTGCTTTTCAGATTTTATCACAGTCAATAAACCGCAGTGGTAATTTCATTCCCATTTGACATATTTACATGGAAACATTTGATTGGAGGAATTAGTAACCCTGAAAGCCTTGATAGATATGTTTTAATGATCTGTGACCTCCGCAGTCCCTCATCTGTTTATTGTTGCAACAGGCGAGAAGTCGTTCCTGTGCGACCTCTGTGGCTTTGCCGGCGGGACGCGGCACGCCCTCACCAAACACCGCCGGCAGCACACAGGTCAGTATGGCCACCTGGCCCTCAGCCTCCTCGGCAGGGGAAAGCTGGTCCAGGCAGGCACCCCAGCATCCACTCTTGGCCCTCGATTGCTTGTCTTTTCAGTTTTTATAAAATCCATGTACTTGGGGGTCTATCTAAAATACATAAGATTTTAATTCGTCTGTTTTTATATATTTAAAAAGTAGGCCTACTGCATGTTTTATGGATCAGGTGTCCTCTGTAAATTCATGTTAAGTAGGAAGGAAAAAAGAGTTTGTCCTCCAAAGCTCAGATACATCAGGCTCTTTTCTCTGTAGGCAAGACAGCCGTGGGCGTCCTAGGTGAAGCTGGGGAGTCCGTGTCCCTCTCAGGCTTGCCTTTTCCTGTAGGCCAGCCCCTCCCCACCTGCGTGCATACTCACCCCCTTTCTCCTTAGCTGCCAGGTACTTGTCTACGGCTCTCCCTTCCCATCTCTCTCGGCCTACCTGACTACCTAACTCTCTAGCCAGCAATCCTCTGCAAGTTGGAACAAGTAGATGTGTTTTAGGTCACCGCTGTTGCAATTATTTTTGCTATTAAGAATGGATAGCAGCAAGGAGGGCAAGATAAGTAGATGTGGACATTGAAGAGGATTGTTTTCATGACGTGCATTCTTGATGATTCAACAAAATAACATATATATATCTGGGTTAGGAACTGTTATGGATGAAAAGTTTTAAACTTTTATTAAAATTGATTACCTACTTGGTTTGTATAATAGATCTTATAAGTAATTATTTTAATAATTCTAAATTATACGTGCCTGGCACAGTGCTGTTACTGCATTGTTCCTTCTGATTATTAATAGAACCACTTTTTACTCTCAAAAGTGATCTAGTTTAGGTGATAAATCATGTGTTAACACAATTTGTAACTAAATATTGGACTTTTCTTTGGGTACCGTGAGAATGGTTGAGTTTGGCAGTTTATACTCAAAATGGCATGAAATTAAGATACATGAAATATGTTGATTGTGGTACATTTTGATTCTTGATATATTTAACGGTTAGCTACAGGTAGCTTTAATGCCTGTTATGGTATTTGTAAGGTCAGTGAAAATTAATGCTAGCCATCCCTTTGAGGTCTTGAGTTTATATGATTCAAATTTCCATATGAGGTAAGAGTTATTATTGAGTCAATGAGAAATTTCCAATGTTTAACATAATGTTGGAAACACAAACTTAACTTTATAAAGATAAAAGTCCGTTTTAAGTTTACAGTAGCAACCCACGATCACGTTTTCCTAATCTGGTGACATAAAGATTCAGCGTAAGAGATGGCAGAAGAGGCCCAGTGGATGGCAGTCATCCTTGGCAGCTGTCTTGGGGGAGTTGGAAATATGTGTATAGTAAAGTGTGTTCATGTGGGGTTTTTTATTCTTAATGTTTTCAGTTTATTGATGCCCGAGTTGTTACCATTCACATGTCATTGTGGCTCACCTGGTCACACGCTGGTGTGGCCCTGGGGCCAGCAGACCCTCCTGTGTGCACCTTTGCCAGCATGGCAGAGCTGCCTCTTGCCAGTGCAGTGGGGACAGTAGTGCTGTGATCACAGGCGTTTACAGGTGATCGATCACAAAGCTTGCATCGAGCAGGCACAACTTTGTATTTTATGTCAGGTCCAGAGGCTCCTTATTACTTTGCTATTAACTTTATACCATATAGGACAATGTCTCACAGACGGAAGCATCAGTCTTTTTGGCATTTATCTGCCTCTGTGGCACAAATCAAACATGATTCTTTAATACCAAAGTCAGTTCTTAAAACTATTTGCTTCAACCAAACAGCTTAGTACAGCTCAGTCTAGGCCCTTAGCTTTTATGCTGGATTTATAATATTTAAGCAACACAGAAGTTTTTGTTTTCAAGGCCAGAATTGTATGGTGCATTTGAAATATGTGTTTCTCTGATGTATTCCTCTTTGACATGGTTTACCTTTTTACCAGAGTGCCCACGCAAATTACAATCAGCTTGGAAAGGGATGGGTATCAAAAGTGTTCCAAATGGCGTAAATCATTCCCTACTGCAATACGGACTGTCTGGGGGCTGACACAAGACATCTTCCATCCCAAGATTTACTTTTATCACCTGTCAGAGACCCTTGATTCAAGGGCACAGGAGCAAATCCTCACGTGTAGTTGAAGAGTCTTGGCCAGCGTAATAACCACCAGCTTGCCCAAAGGAATGCGAGGTGTGAGTTTCCATGAGAAGTGTTCAGCCTGTCTGACAGATTGTTGACACAGAAAGGGTACCACTCCATGTCGATAGCCATTCTGGTGTCCCTGCTCTGGCTTTCTTTTACTTTTCTATCAGAGGGACCTAAGATGCAGAATATTCCTTAACTGTTATTTTGGCCAAGACTATTGCTCATAAATGAAAGTATGGAGAGCAACACAATTTAAAGTAATATGTACTTGTTATGTCACGTAAGGAAAAATCAGGAGGAAAGGAACTTTCACCTTTGTTCTGCATTTTTGAGTAGGATTATACAGGTAGCCCTTTTGACTTAAAGATAGCATTGTTCTTAGTAATTAATATCTTACTTGTAGATTTATTCTTCCTCTGGCTTTAGAAAGACAAAGGATTTTCAGAAGTATTGTTCCCGATGCACCAAATCAATTTGATCAGTCTGTCAAAAATTTTTCCTTGACAAGTGTGTATACCTCTTCATACAGTACCTATCTCATTTTAAGCATTAACAAATATTAGCAAACTGAAATACTTATTTAAAATTTGTAAGATTTTCTTTCAAATTTTATAACCTGGAAGTTGAGTGGATTTTTTTAGCTATATATTGAGATTAACAAACAAGAAAGTACTTCTGTATTTCTGAAGTACATTTTCCTAAGGAAATTACCTGAAAAAATTATCTTTCTGGATTTAAAAAAAAAAACACAACATATTCAAACACCAGTGTTGAACATGTAACAAAATTAATATTCTTTTATTAACTATTTTGTTAATTATTCACTTATGTACAAATCTGAATAAACTGTAGTTTGCATAAGTTGACATGGAGTTCTTCTCCTATCAAGAGCCTAGACATGCTTGAGCCTTCCTTACTTAGTGGTTATAGCATAGTATTTTATGTAGCATATTTTGGTAGCATTATATTTTTTCTCTGTCAGCCTGTATATAACTCAGAATTTCTTAATATTACACAATTTAATCTATTGCATTATCAAGTTAAATATGAAATGACAATTTATAGTTTATTGCAATATAATGCTAGCTTAATATGAATTTCAAATTATTAGAATTATAGAGAATATAAATGACATTTCTTTAAAAGTGTTTTTTTAAGTTTAAATTGTGTCACATAAAAATGTGTTAAATTAAAATGTGTGCCATAAAAGGTTAAATGAAGTAAGCTACACTTGCTATGTTTTTTAAGTGCTATGTTAAGCCTCTGAACCAATGAAATTAACTTTGAAGAGCTTACATGACCTTTAATTTATACCACTCACTCAGACAGTAAGTCCATAATGTCACTCTTTTACCCCCTCCAGATTCCTGCTACATCCACGAAAAATGGATAAATTAAAGGTATCTTGCAAGGCTGTTAGAATAAACAAGGTAGCAATGAGTTATGATGCCAACAGATCTTCAAACACTTATGTCGAATGGAATAAGAAGACTACAGAATATATTTGTGGATTTTATTAATTAAAAATATCTTTAAATTGACCACTTGGATTCATTATGTTAAAACTGGGAGATTTATACTACCTAACTTGAAGTCTTATTATATAGCTCCAATAATCATGATAGTATTGTATTGTCGTATGGAACAGAATAGATCTATGCATATATTTCTCAATTGTTTTTGACCAAGATGACAATATTTAGAGATAAAGCGAGCAAAGGATGTGTAAAGCCTCTACATTGGAAACTTCAAAATACTGCTAAGAGAAATTAAAGAAGACCTAAATAGAGTGATATACCATGTTCATGGATCAGGAGACTCAATATTGTTAAGATTTCATTTCCTCTCACATTGATCACTTCAAATCCCATCAGGCTTTTTTTTTTTTTTTTAAAGAAATTGACAAGCTGATTTTAAAATTCATATGGAAATGCATTGGTCTGAAATACTCAAACAACTTGGAGAAAGATGAACAAACTTGAGGACTTATTCTACTTGACTTCATGACTTATAAAGCTATAGTAATCGAGTCATTCTGGTATTGGCATCAAGGTAGATAAATATATCGATGGAATGGAACAGAGATGACAGAGCAAACCCACACCGACATGGTCAATTGTTTTTTGACAAAGGAGCAAAGGCAGTTTAATCTTTGTAATATATGGTGCTGGAACAGTTGGCTGTCCGTATGCAGTAAAAATGAACTTTGATCCATATATCATACCATATACAAAAATTAACTCAAAATGATCGTAATCTAAATATAAAACTTAAAACTGTATATTCTAGAAGAAAATTTAGGAGGAAAATCTTTGTGACCGTAAATTATCGAAGATTTCTTAGATACCATATCAAAAACCTGATTCATAAATGAAAAAAATCATAACTTGAAAAAATATAAATTGATAAATGAAAACTTTATAAATGAATGACTTCTTGTCAAAAGACACTGAAGATAATGGAAAGACAAACCACGGACAGGGAAAAAATATGTGTAAATCACAAATCTTATAAAGGATTTGTGTTTGTAATATATAAAGAAGTCTCAAAACACAATTTAGAAAACAACCAATTAAAAAAGGGTCAAAGATTCAAACAGGCACTTCACCAAAGAATATAAATACATGGCAAATAAGCACATGAAAAGATCCTCAACATCATTAGAGAAATACAGATTTAAAGCACTGCCCACACCAACAGGCACTCTCTTACACAGCTGGTAGGAATGTAAAATGATCAAACCACTTTGGAAAACAGGTGGACAGTTTCTTACAAAATTAGTGTGTACCTGCCATATGATCCAGCCATTCCACTCCTAGATACTTGCACAAGAGAAAAGGAAATATGTGTCTAAGCAAAGACTTGCACATGAAGATTCATAGCAGCTCTATTTGTAATACCCCAATGTGAAAGCAACTCGAATGCCCTTTAGTGGAAGAATGGATAAACAGACTGTGGTACAGTCATATAATGAAATACTACTCTACTACTCAGTGATAAAAATAAATGAAATATTTACACCTGGAGCAACTTGAATTTGTCACAAAATAATGCTGTGAGAAAGAGGCCAGACAAAAGAGAGCACGTAGTATGTGTTTCCATGGATATAAATTTCTGGAAAATGTAACTCATATGTAGTGACAGAGAGCAGATAAGTGTTTGCCTGAGGACAGGATGATCAGGAGAGAAAGGGGTATGAGGAAACCTTCAGGGGTGATGGTTGTGTTCCTGATCTTGATTGTGGTGGTACTTTCCTTCTGCCTCGCGTGGTCAGTCTAGACAGATATGTCAAGTTAGTGAGATTATTAATCATACGTGTGTTTTAATCCAGATGAGGGCTTTGCTTTGTGTTTCTGTTTCCACGTGAACCACTCTTTGACATTGCTATACAATTAAAGTACTCATCATTGAATTTAATGAACAATTCTGTTTTTATAATGAATCTGGAAGTTTTCAGATATGCTTATGTGTGGATGTTTGTATGTTTCCATGATGTAGAATATTCCAGTATCAAATTTGAAGAGATTGAGCTATTTTCTTTAGCCTTATGTAATATGAAGAGCATATATTGTCTCAAATAAAAGCAAAACCTGCCATCATGAGGAAAGTGAGTTTTTGTTTGTCAGTTCAGTCCAATCAGTTGTCTATAGCAATTTAAGTGACTTAACCAGCAGTTTAGAAACTGAGAACAGAGAGTTATTCAAGGTGACCCTGGGTGATCACTTGATTGGGGTGTTGTAGATGGGATTTATTTTAAGAACAGATGGCTAAAAGAGACAAATATCTTTCTCAACTCCAACGTTTTTACTCTGCTGTGTATGTGATCTTCTTTTTCATAGAGTAAATCATATTCTACCTGGTAGAGTCTGTTAAATGATGTCTTTATGTTAAATTCACTAACTCTGCGAACGATGAGTTGTTTTATGTATGCTATGGGTTTGTCTTTTTACGGGTTATGAGATCTTGATGGGAACTGTTTGTGTGCACTTCTTTTATCTTTGTGAGTGAGGAGTTTGGGCAGTCCTATCATAATAATGATAAAAGCAACTGGTTATTGAGCACCCTGCTAAGTACTTTGCGTGTGCTTTGTCTTCCTTAATCCTCACAATTAACCCTGCTTGTTTGGTGGTATTACTCTCCTGATTGTGCTCAGGGGGTTTTACAGGTAGGGAGTGAAATATGGCAAAACCTGGATTGGGATTGAAGTCCATCTGGCTTCTTCTAACTGCTACCCTGGGCTGTGGTGGCAGATGAAGCACCATTGGATGAGATGTGTATGCATTCAGTTAAATGTTACTGCAGTTATGGTTAAGGACATATAAATAGGCTTAGGAAATATAGGAGAAATGTCTAAACGTTCTGATTTTCAGGACAGATATCATTTTGTTGCTAGCTGAATTGATATAGAGTAATTTTAAACCAAGATATTTCATCCTTCATTTTCTGTGTGTCAGTATACTTATAAAACTTTTATAAAAACACTGGTAGAATTATTGAACAGATGTAAAATTAATCCATGCTATATGTAAAATTTCCCAGGAAAATTGTTTATTGAGAAGAGTATCAGTGTCTATTATAACTGTTTTGGGGGAAGAGATGCTGAGGTTTTCTTCAGTTCACCACTGTCCGATAGACGTGATGCGAGCTACACATGTCATTTCAGGTTTCCTGGGAACCATATTAAAAAAAGGAAAAAGTAACAGGTGAAAGTATTCTTTTAAGTAGTTTAACCAAATACATCCAAATGATTATCATTTCAACATGAAATCAACATAACATCATTAGCGATAGTTTTTTTGTTCTAGGAGTTTGAAATTTGGTGTGTATTTTACACTTCTAACACATCTCAATTCAGAAGCTAAACTTTCATCTGAAATCCATAATCTATATTTAGACTAGATAAAATTTACACTTCAAAAAGTAGATTCACATTCTCAAGCTGTTCCAAACAGACTTAAACATCTTTTCAGTAGGTGAATCCAGTATCAATTTTTTTTTTTTTTTTTTTTTTTTTTTTGGTGAGGAAGATTGTCACTGAGCTAACATCTGTTGCCAATCCTCCTCTTTTTGCTGAGGAAGATTGGCCCTGGGCTGACATCCATGCCCATCTTCCTCTACTTTATACGTGGGACCCCTGCCACAGCATGGCTTGATAAGCGGTGCGTAGGTCCATGCCTGGGACCTGAACCTGCAAACCCGGGGCTGCCAGAGTGGAGCGTGTGAACTTAACCACTACGCCACTGGGCTGGCCCTCAATTTTTAAATTTAAATTTACATTAATTAAAATTAAATAGCCAGGTTTCAAGTGCTGACCAGCCAGTATAGCTAGTGGAATTAAAAACTGATTAAGACTTGATGATTTCTTTGACTGTGTGTGTGAAGGAGTGGTGGTTAAAGGAGAGAAAGGTGTCAATCAAAGGACCAGCCGTGAGTCCTGTGCAAGCCCTTGAACCAGCTCATGGGTGAAATGTGTATGTGGACACATCTGTTATATCTACACAGGGGAGATAAAATTTAAAGTGCTATTAAATATTATTTTAAATGTTTCTGTGAGGCCTCTGTACCTTTTTTTCAACTTAGTGAACTATAATTCGTCTTTACTTCTAAGTTTTTAATTGGTAGCAATTTATAGCTTTATTTTATAATTTTCTTCATATTTAACTTTAAGATTTTAGTAAGTTTATATGAAACTTAAACTTCACTTTAAGATTTTAATGTTTTAATAATTTTATATAATTAAAGTATATCTCTGTTTTATGCTTTTCCATGGTTTTTAACCTTACTGAGATTTTTGTAATGGCTCTAATGTAACCAGTTTGTTAAAGGACTCCAAGTACAGTGCTGAGGCTTAGACTCCTGTTAGTGTGAGCCACGTGTGAGTGACAGAGTGCGTACCCTGCCTCTTTTCCAAGATAGAAATAAAAGTCACTGGTATCTTCTAACTTTCTCACTCTAGAGTGAATATTCAAATGTCCTGAATATGTGTATGAACTATGTCCTTACAATTTCATGGAAATAAGATTCTTTTAAATTGTCAAGAACAGGTTTAGCCCTTCATTTCCAATTCTTATAATTATTCATGTACAACACTTCTTGATATATTACAGGAGAAAAACCTTTCAAGTGTGATGAGTGTAACTTTGCTTCTACAACCCAGTCTCATCTGACTCGGCATAAACGGGTACACACCGGAGAGAAGCCCTACAGATGCCCCTGGTGCGACTACAGGTAATGGCTCCATACTGAGCAAGGAGAATCAAGTGGTCACCAGGACGGATTAAATCCTGTTAAATTCACTGTAAAAGGATAGTTTTTCTGATCAACCTGAATTAGCACAATTTAAAGTGATTCATTTATTAGGTTGAAAATTTCTTTTACCCCCTAATTTTCGTGATTTTTTAAGATTGTAAAGTTCTTTTCCATTTTTTATAATCTTAACATTTAGGTTTTATAATCCTTTAGTACACCTGAATTTCAGGTGATTTTACTTCTTTGCCAAAGTAAGGATCTGTTCCAATTAATCAATTATTCTTTGCATTTGGTAGCTCATCTACTATGAGTGAAGCACTTGTTTAGGCCATGAAGACAATATAACAAATGTTTCCTGCCTTTACGGATATTATGGCATAATAGGTGACTTATAATATTCACAAATAATATTAATACACATTTCAGTGGGTAACTAAAGAGGCCAGGGGAGTGCATAGAGAAGCAACAAGTTCAGCCACAATGAAGTCTTCCTTGAGGAGACAGTGTTTCAGCCGTGGCTTAAAAGATGGGTAAATTTCAGAGACACGTGTATGTTCTACCAGGATGCAGGAGGTCATGCAACAGTGTAGCATTTTGTGCTGAGAGCATGTTAGAGATCATGTGTGCTCAGTCCACTCACTGAGGCCCACAATGACTACGTGATCTCTGCCAGACTGCACAGTTACTTCGCAAAGGCATACTTCTCACACAGGTGCAGAGACGTACGAGACATATTCAGGCAAGGTAAAGAATCCTGTCTTACTACATGAAAAGGTATGTAGAGAGGGCAGAGTGGAAAATAAGACGGGGTGGAGGTTGCAGCTAGATCAAGCTGCACCTGGAGCCGGTGAGAGTGAGTTCGCAGCTCAGGAGGTGGTTGGTGAGACACCACAGAGTTTGCAGGCAGTTGAATGACATCTGTCTTTGGAACTTACTCAGCTGAACTTTGGGGCCTGAATCGGAGTGTGAGCCTTCTTCATCCTGGAGCTGAAGATCTCACGGCCTGTTACTCATGTTGACAAGGAGACATTGAGGGTGGTTCTTTTAACGCAGCTGAGATCTTTATAATGTTCAATGTTAGAATATATACCTTACACCTGAAGCCTTCATTAAAAAATAGATTTTCGTATTCCTGTGGATGTAGCCTGTGCATTCAGTAAATATATTGCCATAATCTCTATTATTATCCTCATTATTGCATTAAGTTTTATATTAAAGGTCATCTAATAGTACAGAGATATTACAGATATTTCATTCATTAATTATTCATTCATTCAACATTTTATGAGTTCTATCTTTGCTTAACACTAGATTGGTGTTTCTTGGAGATTTGGTAAAATGGTGATCCAATTAGAGGTAGACATAGAAATTTTAAGGTGCTGATAATATGAGTTCTTTAAAGAATAAACATTATAGACTGCTCTTTTTCCTTGTTAAAGAGGTCAGATATGTGGCTGCCTTCCCTGTAAAACACAGAAAAGCAATTAGAAAATTATAAAAATTTTCCTAATTATCGCTCTTAGCTGTTAGGATTACATCCTTTCAGTCTGTACTCTATGCATGAGGTTTGAGTTGTTGTTTTGGTGGCTTTTTTTGTTTCATTATAAATTTTATTTTTCACACTTAACAAATTGTAACTACCTGTTTCATTAATCTTGTGTAACTATGGTTTTCAAACTGTTATTTTTAAGTAGCAGAACTATTATTTCAAACAACATCATATACAGACCCAATATATAAAATAAGTAAAAGTGATATCTACCACTTATAAGCAGATCTCATAGTTAAAATATTTAATATTACATATAACATTAAAAAATATCACATGAGACGTTTGACAAGCAAAAAATTTTCAAATGGCGGAGTCGCTGATAACAGTTGCTGTTGGATTAGCCTTGGTGTCCAGTTCATGTCTTGATCCTGGTGTGAGTGCGGGGCAGGAGGGTGTAGTCAAGAGCTCAGGCCTGTGAAGGAGCCAGCCCAACCCTCACTGAAATCACTTAGCTTCAGGGAGCAGCCGCTTCCTCATTTGTAAATAAGGGTGGTTGGTACCAACCTTGTAGGATCATGGTTTATATGAGATGAGAAACACAGTGAAATTACTTAGCCAGAGCCTGGCTGATACACTCCACTCTTGTTTTAACTCTCATCTCAGGTCAGTACTTGAGATGGTTCTAGGTTTTACTTCTTACACTCTCAAGATACTATTCAGTGCGGTAATACAAGAGTTTCAATGAAGGCTTTCCGTATGTTAAATTTATTTATAATACATGCCATGATGGATTTTTTTTTTTTCAGTTTTTGAAGTTGTTAAAAATATATCAAATGCAAAATCAATTATTGCATAATTACTGAAATACCTTAGAGTTTCGAATTGCCTAGTTTGAAAACTGCTCTTCTGTAATATAATTTTAATACTTGCATGGCCTCGAGTTAGATTGATAAACAATCATTTTATTTAATGTTTAGACATTTAGGCTGTTTTCATGTTTTTACTTATACCTAATGCTTATACCTAAATCTTTGTGCATATCCATGATTCTTTTTTTGAAGAAAGTCCTAGAAATGTGATTTAAGGCTTTTAATTGTATGACTACAAAGGTTGAGATTTGAATTTTGTTTCACTGATCAGTACTGTGCTTTGTCTTTGTACAGCATTGCCTTAAGTCTTAGCATACATAAACATATTTTAAAGTATTTCAGGTTTCCTTGGTTTGAAATTGTATTATACTTTTGCTAAGGTTGAGGTCATATTGCTTGTCCCCTGTTCTAGTTATCGCTCTGAAATAGCATCACTTCCGTGTAGAAGTGCTTTTGAGCCAGCTGGATCCCATCCATATTATACCTCTGTCAGGCACTGCAGTGAAAAGGAGATTGTGTATTCTAAGAATATTGTCACTGTCCTGTGAATTAATACTCAAGATGTTTAAATCTAGTGATATCTATTAAATTTGCTTTTGAAATGCTTAAAGCCCTTGATAAAAGGGTGATTTTATCTTTATTTAAAACTTTTAATTATTTGATTATTATTGAAAGTGAATAGTGGGAGCATTTTCTGTTCATAAGGCAGTTTTATCATTCTGTGTACATATGGTTAGGTCTGCTTTCACAAGTGAGCAAGAGACAAGTTAACCTTGACCAGGAGTACAAAAAAGTTGAAGGTAGGGACTATGAATGAAATGTGGAATTTACAACAGATATCTTTGTTTTCTTGTTGATGAGCAAAAGATTTGAAAATGTGCAGATAGTGGAGTTCAAAATGATTGTTTTCGTTGCATAGCATAGGAAGAACGAATGTTTACCATATCTACCTCCCAACAACAAAGAGAATATCTTCTTTCACAAGATGAATAAATTTGAATACGTATGATTTCCAAAGAATAAAAATATCTATAAGATGATCACATATTTCCTAAGAAGATATGATCATATTGGTCTTATTGGTATCTTCTCATAATATTTTATTGCTTACAATACTTAAATAACTTTTTTCATTTAGATTTTTATTTGCTTAATACAGATAGATAAAAATTATTCCTGTAGGGTATTCCTGTCTTTGTCATTATTAACACTTATTTGCAGGTAAGTTACCATCATTAGACACTGAAGTATTATTTAAATTTCATTTGAAAATATATTTTTCATTTTATAAATTGAACATTAGTGGAGAAATATTAGTAGTTATAATTATTCATGAAAAATGTGAATATAGATTTGTTTACAAAAGAATTTTATAATTGGTGTTTTGAACCTGGGGCTATTTTTCAAGTTGGCATTATTAATTTAGGCAATGACATCTCATTCTATTTAGATGTAAACATGTACCCCTTTCCTAAGCTTTTACTGTCTCAAATATCCAAAAGTCTAATCCATTACAGATCAGTATATTTTATCATTACTCCAAAACTTTTTCACCATTAATTACTATTCGTTATAATTTCAAAGCATAAATTTAGATTTATAGCACACTGTCCTACCACGTTATTTATGCAGAAAATTTTTTAGATTTGTTTCTACGTTAAAACAGAAACAGTCTAACATTTTTTGTATATTTTAATTTCCCTTTATGTATTAATTGTCACTTCTATATTAATGAGAGAAATAGGAAAGCCTTTAATACGTTATAGTAAGTACCTTTTATAATAATCTAAGTCTTTCTTTGCCCATAGAACTTATTAATAGCAAACTGCATTCTATTTCACTGATGACACTGGCTTTTACATAAGAGTAAATGGCCATAGTTGGGCTTTCTTTTACGTGAAATTTATCTTTTCATTGGCTTCTTTTTTTTTTTTAGGACTTATGGAGGAAATACAATAAATGCATATTAAACAGTAAACCACTGATAAGTCATGAAAAGTGACACACAATACTACGTGCAGTATTAAAAATATTAAGGATAACCCTGTATTACACTTTAAATGTCGTTTAGTAAATTAAAGAAAACTAAAATTTCGAGCAGACTCTAGCAGTTTGATCATTTATTTATTGCATTCTTATTACTGATCTTGGAATAACTTCTGTATTCCTTAAGACTGCTTTTGGCCGGGTTTTTCCTCAACTGTCTAACTGCCTTAGTACTTCCAATCTTAATCGTACATACAATCTTTTTAAAAAAATTTTTTACTGTTCTACTTTTCATTTTATTCACTATTTTTATTCCTTTTTTGATTAGTTGAAATTATAACCCAAATTAAAATATGTTATGTTATAGAGCTGAGGAATAAAATCTACAATTCCTGCCTCATGAAAGGTTCACTCCATTGTTTTGCGAAACTTGTAGGAATACACTTTTTTTCCCTACTTGATGGTTTACTTAGCTCTTGGCCAGCATATTCAATAGAAGTCATTAATACATTAGATTTTTATCTCGAGAAGATTTTTCTTTCCTTTTTGGCTAAGGGGGAGGCTAAGAATATTTGATGTAACATTTAACCCAGGTAGTGGTATCTCAACTAGAAATGTGCTTTTTGTGATAC